GCCGACCCTAAGGCAAACGCCCGGCCGATCGCCAATGGCTCTCATCCGGAGACGTCTGTAATAACACACAAGAATGAGGAGCTGAAAATTTACACATGTATTTGCCAAATCTACAGTGATGAGTTTGCTAATGGGCGTAATATCACTGGTGCCAATGCAACTTGGAATAGGAGCAATGTTATTATCCTGATTTCCGTCTTCAAGTGCGGTCGTTTGACTGTGACACTGATCGTTATAAGTCTGGTGATAACGATCAGCAAACGTGGTAAATGTGCATCAAATCTTATGCCAGGTAATCATGGGTACATATTCCCTTCTATCTGCACCCTAACCAGCTGCATTTCGCTTGATATTAAAACATGCGTGCCTTATTATAGGAACATTTGTCAACAATTGCGTTGCAGTGTTTTGCATTCAATCGGGTGCTGCCGCACAACTTGACGGGCAGGGAGTCCTTCCAACGTGCCAGGAAGAAGCAGACGGAATTTGCTAAAATACGGCGCGACATTTCGTTTAGATTCACCGTATTTCCTCTGAACGCAATACGGGCGATTCAGAATAGTGCGCCTCCAAGAATTTGCAATGCGTTGACCAATCACAGAGCGCGAAATCTGTCGACCCTTTCCAAACGCGCATTGGGGTCGACAGGTTTCGCGCACTGTGATTGGTGGACGCGTTGCAAACTCTTGGAGGCGCACTATTGTGAAACGCCTGTATTGCAGTCGCATTAATGTCATTTCCTCGCACGCTGGCAACATATATCCTCCCCGCAATCTGCTCAACTGAACCATGGTTATGTGAAATGACAGTCAAACGACATATGGCCGGCCACCAGGGTCAAAGACTACCGAACAATCTCAAACGATCCATGCAAAGAGTATTTATTCTAATTGTGCATCTTTAAACTCTTCTTAACTGCATGAAAAAAAAACTGTTTGGAATCCTTTTGGCATTAAGTCAACTTTTTAAACATCGCAGATTTCCAAAGTGAGAGCGCTGCTGCTGCGATTTGAATCACGGAAGATACCGCCCTGGTCAGTTTGCATGTTTTCGTGTTTAAATTTTGAACTTCAAATTTACCTTTGAAAACATGTCTGAGAAAAGGTTGCCGGCTGGCTTATTGCTCTAATTATACTTACAAACAACAGTAAATAGTCAAAAAATGGAAATCTGCGACAACAAAATAGAAAAATTCCAGCTGTTTCTTTTAGCACAAATCAATGCAACATTGAGGTTCAGTGCCTGAGATGACATCACAGTTGTGCTTATAAATACGTAAATTTAAACTAGCATAAAACCCAAAACTGAGGTCCTAAATGTAGATTAAGAAGATAGCAAAACAAACTTGGGAATATTAGTAAGTGAAACCCGAACGCGTAATTTCAAGGTTGTAGTAAAATAATTGTATCACATGCTCCGTTTAATAGCAATGCCATGTGCATGTAGATTTCAGGAAGCACTTGAGGTAACATATCCTGCTCGTGGACACATCCCAGATAACACGGTTACCTGGCTGTACGTAAACAAGTAGCACAGCAATAGCATTGGCCTTGATGCAAGCCAGTTTCTCCATTACACTGACAAAAACTGTAAGTGTTATACACCAGACTGGACGCAGTTCTCTGTTATCGGAGGGTGTTAAATCAACAATTTAACACCACCAGTTTGCACTTTACTTTCTTTCTTTTTTTACGATAAACCCTTCAGTGCAAGAAGATTTCAAAGCTTAATGTGTAACCACAGTGAGGTATACTTCTTGGTTTCAAATGGGAGGCCTGTAAACTGAAGAAAAAAAATTTGCAAAAAAGTACAGCGGACAGGCATTATGAGTAAGTACCAATTTCTATAAAAATAGGTTTTAAGTGCCAACATTACCCAAGCATGTCCATGAACACAGACGAAATTTACATGAGAGGTTCTTGTGTACGTAGTAATCTTTGAAAATATTCCTCTGTGGCAACTTCCCACCCCTTCTCGCTTGATGCATAAATCCCCTTGATGAATTATTTAAGATCTCCGGCCTTCCTCAGATCTGAACGGCAGAGGTTTTGCCTCTACAGTTTAATGAGTTGAATTGTTAGAGATATCAGTATGGTCGTTCCCTTAATGAGCCTGCATTGTTCAAAAGTGATTGTCTTTTACACTTCCTTGGCCAGGTAGAGACCAGGAGCTGGTGTACACTTCACACGAGAGATGCTCGGCCAGTCTAAGAGGTTAAAAACTGATTTTTGTTACATTTGTGCAATAATGCATCAAATGGCGTGAGTAGGGGTTGGTTTGTTTGTTTGTTTGTTGTTGTTGTTGTTTTTGTTTTAATAATTTTGATGGAATGAAAATTCTGGTCATATTGGTATTGGAAAGTTTCGAGTCCCTGGCTTTAAGTCTAGATCGATTCAATTCTTAGTCTCAATTAAATCCGAACGGTGAAGGTTTTTGTTTTATTTTAAATGATGAACTACCACCGCACTAGATTAATGAATTCAACAGATCTCGTACGAAATGGAGTCCAATAAATAACCTTTAAACATCTGAAAATGCCCACGGTTCTTCAGGCAACCCAAGATCCACAAGGCGGACACTCCACTACGCCCAATCGTCGCTTCACGAGGGGTGTCCAACTTAAACGTTGAGTACCACCAGTTCTTTTCAGCCTGAACCCCACATATTCAAAAAGGGATATCCATGGTGCTATCGAAAACCTATCTAGTTTACTTAACATCTGAAAAATTGTCGTTCATACCAACAGCTTCTTTGAGGCAAGTTGTGAATCATTCAGATTTACTTGGGTTCTTTTTTCCAAGAAGCTTTGTGCAATGCCCGGGCCCTGACCGCGCCTAGCGGGCCAGATTTTGGAGGGGCCATGGCTGTTTCGCCGTACCGTGGAGGTGAAAACAGCGACACTCTTTGTTTACATGTATATCCTCTCCACCTGTCCGGATAAGTCGGATATTACTTGACTGGGGACGTGTCGGGCAAAAGCGTCGTCCACTGATTGGGGAACGACACCTCCGTGGCGCATAATTAGAGCAAACACTCCAGCCCGAACGCTGCGCAGCAACAGCCGCGGCCATCTGCGGCGAGCAGGTGACACGAGCCGATACCCAGAGGTGTGTTGTAATTGAGACGCAGCAGAGTCGCTGTGGGTGGGCGGAATTACGATTAAAGAACAACCATCATCTACAGCATTTTAATTACACTCAATCAACCGCAGTGACCACAGTTTAGGGATTAGTTAGTGAACAGTAATAATAAAAGTGTTTCTCGTTAACAAATAATAGAAAGTTTTCAGCTACTGGCTTTTCCTTGCTCAACCCATGGGTGACCTCAAAAATCACTGATTTTCCTCAAACGTAGTTGATAAGACAAGCCACATGAACAATGGGTCACTTTTTATTCTCACGTACAGTGCACACTAGCGACTGCATGCGGGGAGAAGACGTCATCAACCGGGGCACATCGGCTTAGAAAATCGTTAACATGCTTGTTTAGGCACTAGCAGTCCCGACGTTTCTGTTCGAATGAAAATCCATTTCTTCAGCCTGAAACTCAGGACAAGACACATCAGACTGACATTTACTCACTCGAATTGGTCGAGATCCACTCGAGTTTCCATTAGAGTGGTTAGCTGAAATTATTTTAGTGTAAATATGAGACCATTTTCACTTTGGAAGTAGGAAGAAAACTACTGAACGCACTGGCGTGAGTGTGAAAAAAAAACTTGTAAATTCAAATTGATAGGGGAACCCCTGTCGCTTCATATGTGTTATTTGTACGACAGAATGTGAGAGCTGGCGATGTTTGGTACACAGCTTACACTGCAAAGTAACTGACTAAAATGCCCTTTGATCCACTAAGATCACAAACTGTTATATAAAAAACACATCAAAGTTAGAGAGGCAAAACGCGCTCTGGCTGTGAAGAGAAACATAGGTTACAAGGTACATGCAGCCCTACAAATATATAGCACATTGTTGCGTGTTCTGTGTGGCGTGTCAATCAGAATTAAGCCCGAACTGTACTCAACGCCGCCTCCGCGTGATACATTTTGTAGTGATCTGTTGGGCGGCATTTTGTTATTTCTTACACCGCAGGGAGCACAGCCAGCAACTGGCTCAGCCCTGTGGACATATTTCAGATTTCTATTAATACTGTTTGACAGCGACAGGTTCGACGTTTTGAGTTTCGAGGCGTGATTCTCTTAAATTCGATTTACATCTTTTTTATATTCTATTTATATCGTAGTTTTCGCCTCAAATTTCACAACACAGAATCGTTACAGTTTCCTGAAAAAACATCCAAAGGCATGCCCTTTGCAGCTCGACATAAACGGCGTCCCAAATGTATACATTATTCTCGGTTTTTTTTCCTCTTGTTGTTTGGAATGATCTTCCTCCAGATCAGAGAGTCACGAAGCACGTAGGATAAAACTGATTTTCATGACGCCTCAGTCCAAATGGACAATTTCGAAACAACATCCCTATCAAACGAAGGGTTTCTATACCTCACCTTTGAAAAGGTGAGGCCATTTTGGGATGGATTCCAAAAAGCCTCATACGCAACGCCAACATGCAGAAAACATCCAATTAATTACATTTCCGAGAAATCACTTTTAATTATTAAAGATCTATTTGTGTCCTTTGAACAAACGTGTCCTGCTGCTCGTTTAAGGACATTCCTGCAATTACTCCTCACAAAAGTACGGGTGAAAAAATTGAGGATACCAACAAGTATGAGTTTCTATGTATTACAAAAGCCTTCAAGTGCACGTTTCGTCTATAAATGTCAAAAGTTTGATGCATCGACAAAGCTTCATATGTAATTTCATGCGGTCTTCCAATCAAAAAAATTCCTTCGGCCGTACAACCGTACCGCTTTGGGCGAATGAAACACTACGCGTTCATCAACGAAAATGTCATATCTTCGTCAGGCACAGCAACGTTTGGTTAACTACCGGTACCGTTTGTAAAATAAAGAATACATGAAATGACGAAACAGCTCACCTCTGTCCTGGTAGGAGCAGATTACTGGAGTCCTCCGGTGACAGGTTATTGTTTTTCAGAGTCAAGAGGCCGACCTTCTGTAGCGTATAATAGATGATCTTGACTCTCTACCAATCGCGAGTGACAGTGATCGCTGTCTGCTGAGCCGGCTCTGCTCTCAACGGATCCCCGGGGAGAAAGTGGCTTAAACTCTTGATCGTGCGTCTGAAACGAAACGGCGAGAGACCTGAGGAGACCCAAAAAAAAAATGAATACAAAAATTAAGAGAAAAGAATGACAGCTGGTATCATGCCGACCTCGCGAGTTGGCTAAAAATTCCTGGGGTACCAACGGGCGGGTATTTACGTCTACTAGAGGGCGTCGTTAAAACCCCCGTCCAAGGAAGATGATTTATGGAGTAATCTTAGCAGGTTTATCACTGATGACGATTGGGGGGATCTTGCTCTGAGTATAGGGAATCCATATGGCAAGAAAATATACGGGGACGATCTGATCTGGAACGCTACTATATTACACCGTGTGTGTGGCCACAACAGATGCTCCGAACTGTCAACCCACATAGACCTTTTTCCTGTGATGTCACTATCGTGCCGGACCACTATGTGTTGTGATGGTAATGGTGCATAGTGTTGTAATGGTAATCTACTTATTCAAGATTAACTAGTCAAGCACGCAACGTTCGCAGGTGCGCTTGCAAGTGGTTGAAGCTGCCCGTAGGAATATATGCGATCACCGTGGCCGTGGCGGTCCATATAAGGTGGTATTGTTTACATTTAGCCCAATCCAGTCACGTGGGCGAAAAAGGCCTATAAATGATCGATACAGTCAGAATAAGGTACGCTCACTGTCTCAGAATCATATCATTCAGACAGCAGATACTTTCACAGTGTTGTTGCACGACCATTGAGCTTAAAGAACCTTTACTAAGGAAGGGAAAGGGCAAACACCATTTTGCGGTGTATAAGCAAAACAGCGTTGATCCCATTCCTAACGAAGACATTCCGAAACCAAGCAACTGGGGCTGCCAAGTAAACCAAAAGGAGAAACTCGTACGACCAGCCAATGCAAACGACTTCAAACTGCTTGACTATCACCCCCCTACCACCTCAACGAGCCACGGGAATGCGAACGCAAAGCTTACGCTGCAGGGGCTAAGTAGGTCAATTGAAACGAACGGTAAATTGGCGACAGTCATTATGACACGTACAGCCAGCACCACCTTGCAAATTACACCAGTATCATATTCAATTCAACGCAACATTGATTTCTATTCAACTGTAGGTTTAACTGACAAATTCTCACTTACTGGAAAATTGAGAAAAACATGTACACACCCAGACGAATTTGTTTCCACGGTGGAGTTTTGGGAGGGACTATCGTCAACTCTGAGTATGATAAAGATATCATGCTGAGAATGTTCCGAATGCTGTGCTTCAAAACGTTAGTTACTTACTGCAAATACCATCACATCCAATCTCTCCACAGTGACTCGATAGCTGGATTCTTCGTATTTATTCCATTCTGTACCATGCTTCATGAAACGCGACCAATTTGTCAATGGCTGTCCCTGACTTGTGCGCCGTTCACTTCGTTTGACACCCTTACGTTTGAGAGGCTAGCCTCATCAGGAATTTGTGGATTACAGTCAGTTATTGAATATCACACAAACGTTACTCCCAACCGATTGGTAATTCTTGTTTGCAATCAGGAGCGATGTTATCCTTTGTACACTTGTTCTCTCATTGAATACACAAGTATTCAAGATACACTGCAACTACTGTTTCACCTACGCACTACCTAGAGCACTGAGGCAGGTCTGTTGCCAATGGTTACGAGGCTCCAAGGTTTTGTGTACAACAGCACATTGTGATCTCTATTGATAAATGTTGCCTAAGTCAGATGAGTTAATACACGATTTGCTGTGCGCTGATACAGCCGTTCCAGCAGCGAAAGAGGTTGTTATAATTATGTATAAAAACTTGCCAGAACTGTGCTACTTAAAACTAATGCGATATCAGGGTATAAAATGTACCAAAGGACAATTATGTTAACCTCATTCAGAATGATTGTCTTACTTATTATAACGTGGTATACGGAGTGTCCCTGACATTTTGCTAACTGGGCTCATGGGCTCGCTTTGTCACGGTGTCCGCCTTTTCACTGGTTTCAGCTTTCACTGCGCGATACCGAATAGAAGCAACTTTTACAGTGCTTTATATACCAAATGACTTGCCGGATGCACGGTTTACAGCCGGTGAAACTCGCGCCTGACCAGCCACCAAGCCCCCCATAAAGAAAGAAAAAACCTGGTAACTTCATACCGGTGGGGAACAACGGGGATTTCAGAGTCTATTGGTACCGATATCACCGTGGTCGGTATGGTGCTGATGACCCGACCCCTGCAGGGGTGTTTATCCATCTACGTAAACAGTGAGAACCACCACCAAAGAACCTCAATATCAGTTGAAAAGTGCGTCAAAGAGCCCGGGAAAGTTTGCCTCAACCGTGTCAATCTTGTACTGTTGCCATGGAAACTAGCCAACACCTGTGGCCCTTGGTATTTGCCGAACGAATACCTCTTTTCTGACTTATAACGAGAAGTATAACGTCAATTCAAAATGGAGCGTTACTGCCGTATGATTCCTCTCTGTTTCTTTCCAAGCGCGAAGCTCATCGATTTTTTGGTAAATGCGTTTTGCCTGTCAAAAGAGATCTAGTGCAATTGAGGGTAAATCCGTGCGATTAAAGGTCACAATTCCAACTGAAAAGGGGGGGGAACCCCGGTCGTTTCCTTGACAGTTTGGAGGGGCGGAATTCGATCCCGTTTTTGTCGTCGCACTTTCTCCACCCCTCTGACGCCTAGAATAACAAATTTTCCATGAGCTGACATTTCAAAAAGGAACATCGCCTGGGGTGCTCCGCTTATTTGGTGTATCCGTCCCTTTAGAAACACCGACAAACAAACGATACCTGATACTTCCAGTTTTCAATATCGACCAGGAGAGAGGTGCAGAGCCGGATGGAAACTCAGCTATTGCTGTCTCGAAATTCTGTAGGCGCTCAAAATGAATCTGTTCCTAGGTCTAGACTTGTGAATTTATAAAGTTTATTTGATTTTCAGTCGATTTTTTTAGGAATGTATGTTATCACTGTTGTACCGGTTAAGACACTTACACAAGCAAAATCTAAAAAAGATCTTTTTTTCAGCACAAGGAAATCCGACTTTGCAAAGTAAATTCACTTGAATTGCGTCAAATTACGTTTCGTATAGGTAGTATAGTTCATATGACTGCACGTAATATGATTGAAATGAACTTTGCTAAGCCTCACGGGTCACGACGGGCAATGACGATTTCCAAATTGGCGTTGTAACCACGTCATCTGTCTCAAGCCAAGTTATGACATTTAAGGTTGAAAGAGTGCAGTAGCCCATCATTTATACCACCCATAATAGGTTACATGGATTTTTGTTACACTGTTTAGATAATGGTATCAACGGCAGCATTTTCTTATATTAATTAGAGATTCTGATGATCCATGCTTGTACAAAAAATAAATAAATCACCTGATGCATGTTTTCTCAACCAACCCAATTTCAATTTGTTTGTACTAAATACAGCCAATCTATAGACCTTTTAGCGACAGTTTAATATGAAGTACGACATCTGCAATGACGACGATCAGTTTGAAATAACAAACGGGCACTTTTCTTCGGTTGGTCTCCCCTTTGGCAAGCCTCGAGAGTTTCACCAGCAGAAAACTCCAGGCCGCCCAAAGCACTCGCTGAGAAGAATGAGGATTTATGGAGGGGGGTAATGCATCTGTCAGCGCTGGCAACCTGGCAATTTTGCTGCTGCCAACGTCTTAATTGTAAGGATTACGTTCTTTCATTAGTCCTTCGTATGAACTTCGTGGCCTGTTAAAACAACCAATTCACTTGTCTCAACCTGGGCACGGGGCATCCGTGTGGAGAAAGGTTCACAACATGTCCGCGTGCGGCCATCTAATCTGTCAGCATTAACGGCTGAAAAACACCAGGCGGGAATATAAAAAAAATTCGATGTAAACACTCGCCAGTGACTGTAATCACAACATTGAATGCAACATGAAATACAATAGACAGGTAGACAGGCATGATATCGCTCATGGGGTAAATCAATTCTTGGCGAGGAAGCTTTGCACTCAGGCACGTCAGAAAGAGACCTGAGCGACATTATTGCCACGGGCGGTAGATGCCGTTAGTCTTCTTTGCAGTCTGTAGCTACCGTCCGTTTATGCCAAGTCCATAATTTTGTGCATCTGTACAAACCTGCAAGGCAAACAGTGTTTCTATTCCAATCTGGATGCAGGATTTTTTTTTTGTTTGAAGCTGTGGCGTAATTGGGGTACATTTGGCAGGGGTGCACTATATAGACACTATAAAGACCACTCTCATTTGCCAACAACTTGTATGGGTAGCAAAAGTTGGCAGAAATGTCTTCTTTTGGTTGGTTTTCGATTCAACCTTAAATGGACATCTGTCCAATTAATTTTAAATAGGTCTGAATCTTCATTTATTATTTATTAGTATGTGTATTATTGTCCAGTATTCTGATAGCTGTGTAGGATGTTGAACACTTTGTGAATTATTGTTTTACTTTTGTCCGAAAGGCCCTCCATAGTTTAAGCAAGTACTTGTATCAAAAACACGACTGTGGCGTCGAAAGAAAAACAGACCCTCTAGGGGCGCTCATTCACGGGAAGGGGCACTCAATGGGTGCAAAGCGGACTATGACCAGATGCTTAGCTTCTTTAATTTCTGAGCGGGGGTCACAGGCCTCAAGCTGCGGAGGGGGGAAGCCCTTGTACCCATTCTCTCCTCCTTAGTTACGCCACTGGGTCCAAGGTCCAAGAGTTTGGGGGTTCGAATTGTAAATAGTTACATGGAGAACTCTATGCATTAAATATATGGAGCGGTGACTGCGCTATTGCATTTTGTATATTGTGTACATGATCCGAGTGGTTGCTGATGGGGTCTTTCCCACTGACTAATACGCTAGCGCACTGAAGCCACCCCACAGTGGCGTTGCTAGGATTTTACTAGTGGGGAGGGTGCACAAGGGGGAACCAGCATCTTCTGGGGGGCACCAGCTATCAGTAATGTGGTTTTGGGGGGCAAGCTTTTGTTAGCCTTGTTCAATATCTATTCAATATTGCAAAGTATGATTTTATTCGGTTTTTTTAGTG